TTTGTGGCACCATGAGGAGAGCAACAATACCAACCAACCACAGCTCCCAGGGTCCTAACCACCAGCCTAGGAGCACTTATGGAGGGATCCAGGGCTTCAGCTGAATATGTAAGAGTGGAGGGCCCTGCTGGGCACAGGTGGAAGATGAGATCCTTGACCTCATGAAGGCTGGACGCCCCAGGGGGTGGGAATTTTGAGGGTGGGGAAGTGGGAGTGGGGGGGGTAGGTGGGGGTTACATCCACGGAGAAGAAGGAGGAGGGGTAAGGGGATGGGGGGTTCCCGGGTGGGTGGGGGATGGGGTAAGGGGATAACATATGAAATGTAAATAAAATATCTAATAAAAAAATGTTTTAAAAAAAAAAGAATATTAACAAACCTCTCTACTTCCATGAATGCCCACCCTCAAATGCAGGTAAGCATGCCGGCTTTCTACATTGGTGGGTACCGTTGCTGCTCCCCTAAGTGGTTACATGGAGAGTCAGCTGAGGTTTTAATTGAGATTAGGAAAGCTGACCCTTGCTCCTTTTAGCGGTTCACCCTTCAGAAGTGTCCTGGTGGGAGCACACACTGGTGTCTACAGACTGGATTTGCAAATGGGACAGAAGGAAATCAGTAACTAAAAATCTGAAAGATGGTGTTTAAACTTAGTATTTTTCTTCCAAGAAAATGTTCAGCTGTAACCAAAATGACAGTTGTCTGCTCACCCCAAGTCTTCAGGAATCCTCTTTTTTGATAACCAGCAAACTCACACAGGGCACAGGCTCTCCTGAAACTCACCACAGAACTCCTTCCATCTCCTCTCCCCACCTTCCCACTTTGGGTCTTATATCTACCACCCTTTGCCACCCTTGTCCCTTCCACCCCACCCCACCCCCCCTCGGCCAACACTAGGTAGGAGAGAAAGGTTAGCAGGGAAAGGGGGCACAGAGCTCTTTAGACTACTTCCTGCTGATTAGAGGCAAGTTCCTAGGAGCAAGTTCAATCTTTGTAGTTAGGAAATCTCCAACCAGCAATTCAGCAATCCAGCAAACAGCAATAGCAAAAACACAAATGGAACAGCAGGGACTACCAGAAGCAGCAGAGAACCAACCACAGCAGGAGCAGCAGGAGGGGGAGGGGGAGGGGGAAGGGGACGGGGAGGGGGAGAAGGGAGAA